TCCGGGTTTTCAAAAGTCAAGTCCGGGTTTTGTTAAACACGAGTCCGGATTTTCTTCGAGTCCGGGTCCGGGTTTTTCTCGAGTCCGGATTTTCTTCGAGTCCGAGTCCGGGTCCGAGTCCGGTCCGGGTTTCGAAGTATGCCATTTAAATTTGGTTGACAAGGTAAACGATGGTACCGTCGCGAGTATTATTAATTGTATGCATGGACATTCTTATTCTTTTTATATTCGTCAGTTCGTCTTTATCTTATTCTAATTCTTTTAGATTTCGACCACTTTTATGAAAATTTACATGAAAGGAAGTTATAAAGGATCTTCTTTACTTTGACACAAAATTTACTCTTATTACTAAGCTCGCGAGTGCGAACGAGTGCATTTTTGTTAAGCAAAATAAAAATGGCTGGCGCACAAAATTTGGTCTAAAACGCAATTTGAGGTCATTGCATGGGCCAGGCTCGAAATATGCATCATTTTCCCAAGAGCTCAAATCACGTTTCAAGCTTTAAACTTAGAACTATAATTAAACTGGAATAATAAGTCAGGGAGGATTGAAGCTGTGTTTCGTAAGCAGTGCGAGTCCCCTTTTACAAAATTTTGTTGAAAAATACGCATTCATATTTAATACACTTTTAAATTTTTGATTGCCTCTGATTTCCTTTTATTCTTTCGTTTTAGAGCATACAGCATACAAAGTCGAAATTTTACGAAACCGCGCCAAAATGTTTTTCTGAGTTATTGGGCTCTCCAGACAGAGTTTGGAGATATTATAATACAATCTTGTATAGAAAAATATAAACTATATGTATTCAAATATTGATTTTTTAAGCATGCATGCTCTAACATTTCCCGTCTGCATATTCAAAGTGCTCAATGGCCAACAGTTTATGTAGAAAAATATTAGTTAAGATGTATTCAAAAAAAAATTTTAAGCATGTACTGATATATTCCTAATAGTTAAAATAAGAATTATTAAAGCTTGGCTCCTTATTCAAAGTGCTTACAATGTGGCACGAAAGGTGCGACGCAGAAAATAACACCACTTGAGAAACGTCAATTTATTTCATATTTAAGTTCTTTGTAATTTGCATGGTGATAAAATATAATAGGTTTTGTTTGTGGAAACACCACGTAAATTTATTACTGCAAAGCTTTCGATCCGTAAGCCCGGATCTTCATCAGTGCTAATAATATGACATATATATACAGGGTGTCTCAAAAAAACCCAAAATCATTGAAATTGACGTATTGTTCGATATTCGATGCCCTAGCACTAAGTTAATCCCACGAGTGCATAAAAGATTGACATAACTGCTATAATGAATGGTAATACTCAGCGTAAACTTGTTATGTCAGGCATAAAGTACTAAACCCACGAATTTACGAAGCATTTTTAAATTCCCATGAGCAAACAAACGTCCACTTTACAAAGATATTTTAATTTTTTAAAACAAATTAATCACCCTGTCAAAATCCTTTGTGTTACGGCATTGAAATTCGAACAATACGTTATTTCAATGATTTTGGGTTTTTTTGAGACACCCTGTACAGTGTGTATCAAAATAATTCGAATCCAAATTTGACAGACTGCTGTTTATAAAATACTAAAGTAAACCATATAATTTTTATATGGCAATAAAGAATAGCCTATTAGGTTTCCGATTATATCGCTCTTATATCAATAAGATCAAAAATGACCAAGAAATCGTGTGTTAAAACTGGTTGCTCGAAATCAATTCGAAGTGAGACGTACAAACAAAAGATAATGCAAATTTAATTAATCAACAAACTGTTATGTAGCAAAATTTACATAAATTCGTGTTCATTTAGGCAGCGTTTACACTGTACCGTTTTCGTAGCGTTCTCGTATTGTTCGAGAGAACTAGACTATTGTCTTGCGTTCCCTTGAGGATTTTAATCCTCAAGGGAACGCAAGACAATAGTCTAGTTCTCTCAGCGGCGGAAAATTGTGATTTTTATGGACTTTTTTTGTCAAAGCAATACTCTTTCATTTTCCAACTAAATGACGCGTACAGCATGTCATTTGAAAGGTAAATAAATGAACTTAACCATGGTGTAAAAACCAACCGAATTTGTCAAATATATTCTGCGTTATCACACGCCAAATTTGGATTCGAATTATTTTGATACACACTGTATATCATATTATTAGCACTGATGAAGATCCGGGCTAACGGATCGAAAGCTTTGCAGTAATAAATTTACGTGGTGTTTCCACAAACAAAACCTATTTTATTTCATATTTGTTTTAGAATGGGAATAGCAAGGACTGAAAGCTCAGGATAAATAACAACAGGTAGAGTTTAGCACAAAATCAGTTTAATGACTGTCAAAACGTTTTGTAGTATAATTATTTCTAAAGAGCAATTTGGCTTTGGCACGTCCCGCCTATATAGATGTCAAAAAGTCAAAACTAATTGGAGAACCAGGTTTGAACTTCAAACTTTGAAGTCTTTCCAGGAAGAAGTGTTTTTCTTACTAATTTTTGCTTAAAGACGAATTTTTGATAAAATGTTCCTTACTTCTGGAAACCCGCCTCCATCCTTTAAGTTGACTGTCTCGCCCGTCGGCTTCGACGAATCGTGTAGCCCTTTATCATAGGATACTGTGGATGTGTGTAATGTGTGTGTGTTTGTCTGTCAGTACAATAACTCGAAAATATTTGTAGGACTAATGGGCATTGTGCAAGAAAAAATTTGGATGAAAATTGGACCAGAAATTAACAAAAAATTGCCCTTCTTTGCCGAACAGAATAAATTGGTTGCGTAATTAGCCTATTGTATAATATATACATGATACATAATTTAATTGGCTGGTGGTATATGCAGTCACTGAATTTACATTGTTGACCAGTGGCGGAAATTCACTTTTTCCGGTGGAGGGCAAAGCCTCCTAAATTTCCGACAAAATTTTCAAATTTCCGACGACCCCCCCCCCCTATTGGCACTCAAAAAGGTTGTTTTTAGCCCTCTTTTAGGTCAAAATTTCCGAAAATTCGTCATTTTTCGTGAAGGTGGGGGACAATCCAGCCCAGGCCCTTGTATCGAAAGTTTTGGCAAAAAATGAATGGTTGTGTTTTCACAATATATATAACAGTTTATATTAACTACCTGTGTCGGTAGTCTTAGCAAATTTTGAGCTTCTTTTGAACTCTTGGCCTCTTCATTTCCGTCTTCCCTTTGGTAAGAATGTCCCAAGTTCAATAATCCTACTGCAGACGCAATTCTATCAACATTCATACTTTGGTTTCTGATATCTGCTTGCTCCACATTATCAACAGTTTCATCCTGACGTTGAGCGTCGTTTGATGTACTGGATATTTTAATGCTACCAGTATCTAAATAGAAAGATAGATTACACAGTTTGATTTCCTTATGCTTCCAGAGTTTCTCCCAACGGTTTAAAACGTTTGATAAAACGGTTTTTTGTTAGTTTTTTAGGCAGGAAATATTATGTTATAGGTGTGTAGAGGCAGGAATCGGACGAACTATTCTCAGGCATATTACTCCAATATGTCAAAAGGAATTTTGTGATACTCTCAGGTGTTCTGTTTGATCTTTTGGATTTTTTATTTATTATTTTTTCCCGACAACCTAGTTGTCATTCTACACGTCTTGAAAATATACTCGTATATAGCCAGACTAACAATCCAGCTACCTGAGATGTCAGTTACTTTCCACTAGCCTCGCTCTGACTGCTTGAGTTGATTATAACCTGAGAGATGTGTCTGCCAGCATGAAATTTTATAACCCAAGATGTCCATGGGTAGTTGCATTCGACGGTTTGATAAACTCGGGTTTTACACATTGGGATTTATCCTAACACCTTAGCGATCCTTTATTAATTTCTTTAAAACAAACTCAAAAATGCTTCTCAACCGAACACTATTTTATTTACTTTTTTATTTTGCGAAAAATTTGGAAACAGCAACATCAAGTATCAGATTGAACGTTTTACTTTCGAAATAGCTATAACCTTACCAACCTGCATGGTCTTCACCTAAGCTTACCTTTAAGTCTTGACAATTTTTCAATTACATCTCTTGCTAAGCCTTTATATCCTTGTTCTCTTGCAATTTCCAAGGCTTTTTCATAGTGCTGAACTGCCTTTTGAATCTGTTTGTTTTTCCTATAAACCTTTCCTAACCCAACGCGTGCCTTTGTTTCCTCTCGTTTATATTCTCGTTCTATTGCAATTTCCAAGGCTTTTTCATAGTGCTGAATTGCTTTTGGAATCTGATTGCTTAATCTATAAGCATATCCTAACCCAAGGCGTGCATTTATTTCCTTTAGCTTATATTCTCGTTCTATTGCAATTTCCAAGGCTTTTTCATAGTGCTGACCTGCCGTTTGAATCTGATTGTTTTTTCTATGAACCTTTCCTAACCCAAGGCGTGCCTTTGTTTCCTCTAGTTTATGTCCTCGTTCTATTGCAATTTCCAAGGCTTTTTCATAGTGCTGAATTGCCTTTTGAATCTGTTTGTTTTTTCTATGAACCTTTCCTAACCCAAGACGTGCCTTTGTTTCCTCTAGTTTATATTCTCGTTCCATTGCAATTTCCAAGGCTTTTTCATAGTGCTGAATTGCCTTTTGAATCTGTTTGTTTTTTCTATGAACCTTTCCTAACCCAAGGCGTGCCTTTGTTTCCTCTAGTTTATGTCCTCGTTCTATTGCAATTTCCAAGGCTTTTTCATAGTGCTGAATTGCCTTTTGAATCTGTTTGTTTTTTCTATGAACCTTTCCTAACCCAAGACGTGCCTTTGTTTCCTCTAGTTTATATTCTCGTTCTATTGCAATTTCCAAGGCTTTTTCATAGTGCTGAATTGCCTTTTGAATCTGTTTGTTTTTTCTATGAACCTTTCCTAACCCAAGGCGTGCCTTTGTTTCCTCTGGTTTATATTCTCGTTCTATTGCAATTTCCAAGGCTTTTTCATAGTGCTGACCTGCAGTTTGAATCTGATTGTTTTTTCTATGAACCTTTCCTAACCCAAGGCGTGCCTTTGTTTCCTCTGGTTTATATTCTCGTTCTATTGCAATTTCCAAGGCTTTTTCATAGTGCTCACCTGCCGTTTGAATCTGATTGTTTTTTCTATGAACCTTTCCTAACCCAAGGCGTGCCTTTGTTTCCTCTAGTTTATATCCTCGTTCTATTGCAATTTCCAAGGCATTTTCATAGTGCTGAATTGCCGTTCGAATCTGATTGTTTAATCTATAAGCACTTCCTAAACCAATATTTACATTGGTTACTTGTTTTTCGTCGTTTAGTTCCTCAGCTAATGTGAAGGCTTCTTGAAACTTTTCAATTGCCAGTTGAAACTGACCTTCCTCTCTAATAGAACATCCATTGTTAAGGTACTCTCCTAGCATCTGCTTCTTTTCACGTTCGTTATTCATTCTTAATGCTTATGCAGTCTGGTCTGCTGGTCAAACACAGTTTGCTTTTTGATAGCTGAAAGTAGAAATAAGTTCATTGGAATTGGATTCAAACCATGTATTTCCTTCTTTTCGGTTAAAAGCTATTGTTATAAATCATTGTTTGTTGTCGAACGGTTTTTTGCACTTGATTAAATACAGTGTGGTTGTCCGATACAGCAAAGCCTAATGCCATGCATGGCACAGGTGCTCGAGACTAAGGTCTAAGGGTTAGTTTTTGATAATTCAATCGCTTAAGGTGGCTTCCTAAAATTTTAAGTATTTAGGTAACCTTCACTATCGCTTTCAACTAACTTTATATTAAATACACTAAGACAGGCCAGTTCAGAAGTCTTGTGAGAAAGTTGAGAACTCTTGTGCTGTCGATATATATACAAATAGGGACAGTATACGTACTAGTTGCTATGGCAACCATGATGTTTTATCTTTTGCACTTTTATTGTCTAATTCTAAATTCACTCTTTTTTCCTTAACGATTTAATTATGCATGATAGAGGAATAACATATTAAGGGGCGGCAGTGTGCAGCAGCTAGAAGAGTTAAAGTATTCGCACCGATGCGAACAAATTTCAGTGAACCACTAAGAGATACAAAGTAGACAAAATACTTTTAAATGCTGACTCAGCATTTTCAAACAACAAGTTATCGAGGTAATATTTTATCATATTATGTACTAGGCTTAACTGCTGAAATTGTAAGATTTTAGGGAAAGTGCATTTATTACGCCGGCGGGAGGGTGAAGATGTCTTGAAAAAAGCTCATATTTTTACAGGGCCCCCGTTGAGGTTACACTATCACAAGATGAAATGGCACCGTCTTTAAAAAAATATTTTTGATTGGCTCTAGGGGCAAAATTATCAACAGGTTGTTGTTGTCCGTTATACAGCGCAGTCGGAATCTTGAAGACGTTCATCTAGTGGCCGAGATTTCCTGGATCAGGGTAATGTGCTGGAACCGTAGAGAACCTCGCCCCCACCCAACGTATCTCCTGGCATCTGTTGCAAATTTCTTTGTATGCCTGTCAAAAATGCATGCAAAAGCGTATTCTTCAATTTCTTTAATTTTCATCCCATTTGTATTAAATATCCCATGAACATAGAACATATCATTCTTACAAAGCGTATATTTTTTTAGTGTGAAGTTTCTTCGAAACTTCACAGTATTGTGATTACTGGTGAAAATTCACACGAATCAATCAGTCAGTCATTCAGTCAGTCAGTCATACAGTAAATATTCCAGGGGGTGTATCGATTTATGTTCGTAGTGATTTATTGTCTTAGGGACCGGTCATTATTTATGGAAGGGATGAAGGGGGCCATATGACTAGAAGGGGGGCTATTAAAATTTTTTAAGAAAATGAGGGGGGGTTGCAATTAAATTTGAAGGAATTTGCTTAATAAGCATGGTATCCATTTGGTTGTAATTGAGACTAAATCATGGTCACAGATGTGAAATAGTCTGGATTTATCTTGTCTTCTGTGTGCTGTATGCAAATCAGTCTTCACTGATTGCAGAGATAAATTGACAATGTATTATTACATCAGCTATCTTGATGTGGTTACATGGCATTTAAGCAAGGTTAACGGCGAATGTATTATGCAGGCCACATCCACTGAGGGGAGTCTGTGACGTCATATCGATTAAAGGGGGTTGTTTCGCGCCTTGTGATCAGTGCTTCGGTCTGGGTATTCATTCTGCCATTGAATGCTTTTCCTAGCTGCAGCAAGTTTAGCGCTTAGATACCTTTTCCCTACCCACTCACCCACCCATGTTTATTCTAGAGGATTTTATCTGGTAGTATGTCATTTTATTTTATATAATTTTTAATCTCACACAAAATAGGATGTATAGATCACCATACATTATATTTCGTTTGACTGGTGCTGGAGGTATACCTTGGCAGAATGTCCAGAATTGTCATGGCTATCTCCTTTTGCTGCTAATAATACTGATTGTTACTCTCATTGCTACGCAGCTGCTATGGCAATACTTCGTGCCGTCAAATCTAGTTACAGCCTTGGACCACAAACGGCACCTGGCTCCAAACACTAATATTAATTCTCTGTCGTTAAACATGGTTACAATCGCCCAGACCAAATGGAAACCTGATTTTAGAGTTATATATGAAAATACCCCTCTTTTAATTATAATTTTCTGCTAATATATATTTTTGGTAGACGTTAATATCTTGTCAGCTCCATATTCTTATTTAATTAATAATTAACATTATAACGCCTGGGTATCCCCATTTGTCGAGTAAAAATGAAAATGAGGGGGGAGGGGTAGAAAAATATTCTGATATGTAGGGGGTTCATGATTAAATTTCTGCTCTTTTAAGGGGGACTTTCGCAATTTAGGAATTTAAATATTCTTTTATCGTTTTGGCAAGTTCACAAAAATTTCGAGGAATCGTTTTCGTTATTGTAGTTTTTTGTAAATTTTATAACATTCGCTTCTCATGTTGTGTAAAGGATATTTACCCCGGAACACCCGATTTTTTCTTTCGTAGCGCAAATGCGCATGCGCTATCAAGCCGTAGATCGACGATGGCGTGACGACATGCCAGCCTCGTCCCCGGCGCTTTGATTCCCGCGCGTGCGTCACGCAACCCGGCAACCGCTTAGCACATCAAAGCGCCTGGGACGAGGCTGACGATATGCTAGGAAGGAGCGACAGTGTTGTTTTCAAATGTATAAACATTTCAGTTGTGAATATTGAGTATTATCTTTGACATTCTACGCAATATATAAATTTAGAAGTTATGCATTACGGACATTCAATTAAGTGCCGACATTTTTTAGACGGTATATTCATTATACACAGCTAGGAAGGAGCTAGACAGTGCGCTTTTTTTCAAGTGTATAAACACTTAGACGTAAATATTGAGTCGAAAATCTTTGAGATTTCAGAGCTCTCAACTCTCACGCATTTGGCGTGAGTCTCACGCAGTTCGCTTCACTCTCACGCTCTCACGCCACGTTTAGTAAATCTCACGCATATAGCAGTTTCATAGTACTTTTTCAATAAATAAATATAATATTGTGTTCTTAAATGCACATTATTAATCATTATACGGATCGCGAATCGAATATATAATTGCGTGTTATTGTTCCTGCATATACGGCCCGACATTTTGCCTGCAATTTGGATACAAAATAGTACGCATATGTAAATACGGCGGACAAAAGGCAGAATCAGTCGGATCAGAATTCCATATGTAAATTATCAAAGGCAAATTAAAGCTCATTACTGTATGTTGCAGAGATACAGTTATTGTAACTGAACTAAAGACTGCCTTGTCTTAAAGGACGTTATGAAGCAATGTATTTCATTACAAAACACCAACTCTCATAATGTACCAAATGCCATTTCAGACCCCCGGACTTTTACAAAGGAGTCATCCACATCCCCAATCTCACTTTTAACTTCTCTGCAAAGTTGAGAGGTCTGAGATTTTTTTATTTATTTTTATTTTTATTATTTTCCCCTATGGCTATGTACAGATTTTAATAATTACACAACAACTTTCTTCTAATGATATTGGGCTAGGGACATACTAGAAACCTTTACAGGCTTTTTGCTTTAGGCCCCTAGTTGTAGTTGTGGTTCATAGTGAGGTTAATTAATATATTTACAGTTAAAGATAATGAAAAAAGTAATTTTTAGAATATATGCTAGAATAGATTCTAGGCATTCAATGAACCATTTGCATTATAGACTAAATTTTGATCTAAACAAGTCTAGACAAAAATTTTATCACAGCTTGAAAGAGCATCACAAAATTAGTAATCTTCCAAAGTTTCGTTGCGAAATGTTGTTAAATGCGGATAATATCGCCTTGCGAAATTTGCAATTTTCAGTCATTTTGTATTACAAACGGGAAATGGATGCCCCAACACCCGATTGGGCTGTCAATTTTAAAAAGAACAAAACAATAGACACTCCGAAAATAGTTAACATTTTATTCAACGTTTCGACTAGACTTGCTCCAAGTCTCTCTTTGTGGAGATTCACTATATTGTACATCTATATATTGTACATCTATATTGTACGTTACATGACGTACCGCTGAGGGGGAGAGGAGGAAAGAGAGACTTGTAACATCTGGCAGCAGACATACTACCGGCTGGTCAATTTCGACCAGCCGGAAGTAGATGGCCGCATTGACTTATCGCGTGTTTAGGGGGGGAAGGCGACATCTGGACTTTCAGAGTTATTTGTTTAACATAAGCAATTTTGTATTCACGAGATTTCTTGTAGATTTCACATCACTTTTGACTGCGTGCATTTGGAATTTTGGGCATTATTTTTGCAATTTATTGTAAACAACGATTATAAGAAGAACGGATAAATTACAAATCAGCCGTAATCGTCATAAACCTCGATGACCACCAGTGTTTTTGTGTTTGACAATTTGTATTTCATTAGATATTTATATGTATAAACGGGTTATCATATAAAATGATCATTCTAATGAATGAATTGATAAAACGAATTATTTCTAATATGTACGGCCGCGTTTTTTACACGGCCACTACTGAAGCGTTTAGCTTGATTGCTGAATAAATCGATGACTTGCTTAGTTGCTTTCTGTTTTGAGCTTAACCACCGTTTAAGCTAAACGGGCTTGATACAACTGGCCCCAGATTCGGGCCCAGATAAACATTTTGTATTATCGAGATCGAAACTATAGTAAATTGGAAACCGTGTCAATAATAAAAAACGTACAATGAACTTATGAACATGCGAAAATTGCCACGCCCAAAATTACAAATGTTTATTTTGTTACAAATTTGTAATTTTAGGCGTGACAATTTTCGC